TAACCGACTGCGCCACCCAGGCGCCCCAGGCCTACATTTTAAAGAAATTGAATCAATAATAATGTTTTGCGGTATCATGATTTATAAGAAAATACTTTGGGTCATTCACATGACCTGATTTCCCAAGCGTTTCCATTAATGTGTCTTGTTATGTTAATTAGGTGACTTTAAAAGCCTGTGGAGGCTGATCGCTGGTGGAGCCAACCATAAGGTTAGAGGCTTGGAACTTTTAGTCCTATCCCCTTGACCTCCAGGAGGGGAGAGGGCCTGGAGGTTGAGTGATTGCCCCTGGGCAATGATTTAATCGGTCTTGCCTCTGTAATGAAGCCTCCATGAAAACTCCAAAGGAAGGGTTTTCCTTCCCAACTTGATAAACATATGGCCCACCCTGAGACTATGGGACCTCCTTGCTTTTCCCCTCATTCTGTGCCGTGCCGTATACATCTCTTCCATCTGGCTCTCCCTGAGTTACATCCTTTTATAATAAACCAGTAGTCTAGTAAGTAACATGTTTCTCTGAGTTCTCTGAGCCATTCTAGCAAATTCAAAGACTTGCACAGATACTTCACTTCAGAAGGTAGATGACATGTAAGTGTATGGAAAGATGACCAGCACAGGGAATTGCAAATTAAAACCACAGTGAATTACTGCTACATACCTACTAGGATGGCATGTCTGGACCGCTGACAACATTCAGGCCACTGAGGATGGAGAGCAGTAGCTGCTTTCACTTACTTCTGGCGGGAGTGCACATGGTTGATGGTTTCTTACAAGATGTACATACTGTCTTTGAAAGATATTTGTTTATTTTGAGAGGGAGAGGAAGGGGCAGAGAGAGAGGGGGAGAGAGAGAAGCCCAAGCAGGCTTCTGTTAGCACAGAGCATGACACGAGGCTAGAACTCAGGAACTGTGAGATTACAACCTGAGCCAAAATCAAAAGTCATCCAGGTGCCCCATAAAGTAAACATGCTCTTACCAGGATGTAGCAGTCACCTCCTTTTGCACCCCTTGTTATTTGCCTAAATGAGTTGAAAACTTTAGTTTACACAGAAAACTGCACATGGATATGTGCAGCTTTATAGCAGCTTAAAAAAGTTTTTTTAAATGTTTATTTCACAGAGAGAGGGAGAGAGGGAGAGGGAGAGAGAAAGCATGAGCAGGGGAGGGGCAGAGAGAGAGAGGGAGACACAGAATCCGAAGCAGGCTCCAGGCTCTGAGCTGTCAGCGCAGAGCCTGACGCAGGGCTCGAACTCACGAGTGGCGAGATCATGACCTGAGTCGAAGTCAGACGCTTAACCCACTGAGCCACCCAGGCACCTCCGTAGTAGCTTTATTCGTAACTGTTAAAACTTGAAAGCCACCAAGATGTCTTTCAGGAGGTGATGGATAAATAAGTGGTTCATCCAGAACAGGGAATATTTTTCATTGCTAAAAAGAGATGAGCTTTCAGGCCATGAAAAGACATGGCAGAAACTTAAATGCATATTACTAAGTTAAAGAAGCCAATTTGAAAAGATTACATACTGTATGTTTACAACAATATGACACTCTGGAAAAGGCAAAACTACAGAGAGAGCGGAGATATCCGTGCTTGCCAGGAGTTATTGAGAGAGGGAGAGCTGAATAGGCAGAACATAGAGGAGCTCTAGGACAGTGAGTCTCTTCTCTACAATATACTAAAAGGGCAGGTACATGTCGTTCTGCATTTGTCAAACTGCATAGAGTGTATAACACCAGGAGTGAGCCCTAATGTAAACCGTGGACTTTGGGTGATGACGTTGTGTCAGTGCAGGTTCACCATTGTAACAAATGCACCGATCTGATGAGGGATAGATGGGTGGGGGACCTTGTACATATTGGGGGTCAGGGAGCGAGTGGGAACGCTCTATAATCTTCTGTTTTGTTGTGAAACTAAAACTGCTCTAAAAACGGTTTATTAATTTAAAAAAGTAAAAAAGAGCAGAAAGTGAAAAATGTTTAAATGATTCCATTTTACCCACTAGTTTAAATCTTATGTTTCTTTTCCAGATATAAATTCAAGATTTGTTTAAACATAAGTCAGAAACCATTTTCATTTGCACACAAACATTATTAATATTAATCTTGGATCCCAAAGATAAAATACAAAAGCCTACTTAATTCACCCTGCGGTTGAAATAATATATGTTTTCAGTGAAAAGTAGTGTGGTAACATTACTTGTTAGGTAAAGTATATTTTAAAACATTTGTCCTGACTGTTAGGGCCTGAGGAAATACAGGTGCCAGGGGAGGAGGAACGAAGATTTGTATAGTTAAGCACTCAGAAGACTGAGGGCCCAGTTTGTTTATCATGCCATTTTTCACTTCAGATAATGTTCTACTTTTTTTTTTTTTTTCAACGTTTATTTATTTTTGGGACAGAGAGAGACAGAGCATGAACGGGGGAGGGGCAGAGAGAGAGGGAGACACAGAATCGGAAACAGGCTCCAGGCTCCGAGCCATCAGCCCAGAGCCTGACGCGGGGCTCGAACTCACGGACCGTGAGATCGTGACCTGGCTGAAGTCGGACACTTAACCGACTGCGCCACCCAGGCGCCCCTACTTTTTTTTTTTTTAAAAGCCACTAGTTCCACCCTGATGAGGGGATTTGATGGGATGAAGATAGGTTTGAGGAAGAAAGAGGAAATTAAGAGATCTTTTCTAGAAAGTGGGAATATGAAATAGAAAAGATATAAAGAAGAAAGTAACTTTATAAAAATGGAGATAATAGAACTGACTAGAACTTATTAATTGCTGAGCACTAAAATAAAGGAGAATTATAGGGTTATGGTCAGGACATCATTCCACCTGTACTGAAAAGGAAGCAGGTAGTAAAGAGACAGTGTTTTATTTTTCCGTGATGGTACCAGGCGTCACTGGTTCAGAGTAGCTGGCTTTAACCCACTAGGTGGCAGGATAGAAAGAGAAGAGGCAGGTTGGGGTGGAGGGTTCCCGGGGCTAGACTGAACGTGTACCTAGAAGAATTGTGTCATAGGTCAGACGTATATGTCTTTCTGTGTTTATCTTTCATATATGTGATAGTTCAGGTGTGGTGTTAAGGCAATAACATTTCGCTGCTGAAATGATGTAAAGCTTTTGAAGAACATAAACAAAATAGTGATGAAATGCTGACTCTGGGATAGACTCATCAACACGAACCAAATTTATCATATTTCCCAGATATTATTTTTTCAAAAATATTTTAAGATTATAATTGCTAGCTGTATTTTTTCCTTACTGTAATCTGATATGAAATTGACAATAGTGAAAAATTGATATTTGCATGGTATAACTTTGTGGTATTAGTGAAGGTTGTCTTATACTAAGAAACCTCATTTTTAGACCAATATTTTTTTACCATATTAGAAAAGACATCTAATAATAGTCTGGGTTCTGTCTTTAAAAAGTTGTTTTTGGCCAATTAATCTATTCTTGAATGCCATTCGTTAGGTAACTATATAGTGCAATACTCAGAATAGGTTTTTTGGTTGGTTTTTTTTTTTTTTGTCTTCGCGTTTTTACTGTATTTGGATTTTCATAACGATTGTAGACTTAGAAGCAGCCTCCCTCTTGGTTTGCTCTTCTCCGGAATCCCAGAGAGTTTACGCGTAGATTCACAGAATCCTTTGGGCTGAGAGGGATGGTAGGGAAAACCTAGTTCACAGGGTTTCTGTTAGAAGAAGCAGAGACCTGAGCTTAGATGCTTGAGTCCAGCTCATGCCGTCCACTGGCTTGGAGTCGGGTCTCCGTCCCTGTGTCCCAGCCAGGCTGATTCTGCATCTCCAGGCTGTTGACTCCACCAGCCTCTGTCCTGCCACATCAACAACTTGTAACCAGTAGTTTCCAGCTTCCTTCTGTCCCCTGTTCGCAATGAGCAGTATTGGTAATGCAGCTTGTCTACCTGCCCTGTGTGCCTCAAGTGGCTTTTGTGAAGTTGCTGAGTCACTGTAACAATAGTGATGCTCTGTGGCAGAGGTCACGCAGTCCCCCCAATAGTGGGTCACTGTGTTTTACGTTTGAATTTGCTGCCTTGCATGTATTGCCAGTGTTTAGAAATCAGGTTTTACACGAAAATCTAGATTCTTCCATTTCCCTGGAGAGTTTCAGAAATCTGGCCACATGGGAGGAGGACCTTTCTCCAGGGGCCCTCAAGCCCTTTATTTATTTATTTATTTATTTATTTATTTATTTTTTCAACGTTTATTTATTTTTGGGACAGAGAGAGACAGAGCATGAACAGGGGAGGGGCAGAGAGAGAGAGGGAGACACAGAATCGGAAACAGGCTCCAGGCTCTGAGCCATCAGCCCAGAGCCTGACGCGGGGCTCGAACTCACGGACCGACTCAAGCCCTTTAGATACAACACGCACCTGTATTCCACTGTAGTCCCCACGGGTCCTGTAGGGTTCCCATTCCTTGGCCAGGTGCCATTTGTCATTTATCATTTATAATCTCTTGCTTTTCGGGGCGCCTGGGTGGCGCAGTTGGTTAAGCGTCCGACTTCAGCCAGGTCACGATCTCGCGGTCCGTGAGTTCGAGCCCCGCGTCAGGCTCTGGGCTGATGGCTCAGAGCCTGGAGCCTGTTTCCGATTCTGTGTCTCCCTCTCTCTCTGCCCCTCCCCTGTTCATGCTCTGTCTCTCTCTGTCCCAAAAATAAAAAAAAAAAAAAACATTGAAAAAGGAAGAAAAAAAAAATTATAATCTCTTGCTTTTCACACTGAAATGACCTGCCTTGGTGTCTCTAGACATCGGGGGATTTCAACTCTTGTTCTCTGAAAGTATGCACTGAGATGAATCGTTCTCGTAGAAATTTCTTTAAAAAAGATGAAGATTGAGGAAGATAGATGGAAAATAATTAAGTTGGTTGCATAATGGAAATGACTGATATTTCTCCCAATTTGTTTTTCAAGGCAAACATGTCCCAGGTAAGGCAAGTGGGACTCCTAGCTGCTGGATGTCAGCCTTGGAACAAAGATGTTTGCGCTGCCCATGGAGACAGGTTTGCGTACTGTGCTACCCTGGCCATCTATATTTATCAGGTCAGATTCTGTGGATTCTTTCTGATTTCCGAATTGTATTAGGTAAAGTTAATATTTAAGTAGTACGTATTTTTAAATCCCTGTGGTATGAAAAGCTGAGTGCTTTTTGGTTTTACAAGTCAAGCTTTTAGAAAATGCTCATCTCCTAGTTTTAAATTATAAGAATCTTAATTGATTTCACAATCATTCATGCAGTTTCATCAGCAAGAATTTCTTCAAGAATTAAAAGCTCCCCATTTATTTTTTAATTTTTTTAAGGTTTATTTATTTTTGAGAGAAGGACACACAGTGCAAGCGGGGGAGGGCCAGAGAGAGAGGGAGGCGCAGAATCCAAAGCAGGCTCCAGGCTCCAGGCTCCCAGCTGACAGCACAGAGCCTGATGTGGGGCTTGAATTCACGAACCGTGAGATCATGACCTGAGTCAGAGTCGGATGGTTAATTGACTGAGCCATCCAGGTGCCCCAAGAGCTCCCCATTTATGAATGGCGAGCAAGTAGAATTTAATTCTTTTAACATATATTCCCATAAAAATAATTGGAATTCGTTTATTCATTAGTTTCAGACCTTGCTTAGTAACTTTCATATGATAAAATCTTACCAGGTGAAGAATAGGCATCATCCATTAGAGATCATTATATTAAAAACAGTGCAGATATATTTTGAGATATCCTTGGGATACAAGCCTTTATAACTCCTTTTTTCCGTTAACTAGCTCCATCCAGACATCTCTTATCAGTTCCCAATCTACAGAGCTAGTGGCCTTCTGAGTTTCCCCAGGCAGAGGTGCCTTATGCCTCTTCAGTCCAAGTCAGTCTCCCTCCTCAGACTCGGAGCCCACATTTTGGTGTTAGCACTGCGCCCTTCATCTGAACCACAGCCGGGAGAGCCAGCTGTCTGTGGCTCCCTCTTCTGCTCACCTCTTTTCGCTGAAGGTGAGCAGGGGCCATCGTAGTGTTTTGTACCCGTTACTGTCTTCTTTATACTGTGTCACCTACACTTTTCGAATAGTCTCTCAATATCCTCTTTGCCTCTACTTTGACTCTCTCTAGTTTATTCTTCATTGTAATTAATCATCTTTAATGCAAATCTGAAATTTTCAGTCTTCAGCTCTTCCTCATTCCCTTTTATGAAATCCTAACTTCATAGTATGACATCGTGTTACCAGCATTCTGTCTCTCTCCTCTCACCCTGTGTTCCAGGCATACCATGGTAATTGTATTTTCCAAAACATCTCAGACTCTTGGGTATCTTGCCTTTGCTTACACTAATTTCTTTCCATTTGCCTGTGTTGCCTGTTTAGAAAGTATTTTCTCGTCTTTCAGATCTCAGTTGACGTATAAACTCTTCTCCATATTCTGCTTTTTCCTCTTTCTTATTAGCAAAGGATCTTATAAAACAGACTGCCCGTCTCAGTGCTTCCCTTTACCAGAATGAGACTTCCTCACCTTTGGACTCTCAAGTTATGCATACTCTCTGGTATTTTTTAAAAGTATTTTTTATTGTTTATTTATTTTTGAGAGAGAGCATGAGCAGGGGAGGGGCAGACAGAGAGGGAGACACAGAATCCAAAGCAGGCTCCAGGCTCTGAGCTGTCAGCACAGAGCCCGATGCGGGGCTCGAACTCACTAACTGTGAGATCATGACCTGAGCCAAAGTTGGACGCTTAACCGATCGAACCACCCAGGAGCCCCACTCTCTGGTATTTAATGAAGACTCATTAACTATTTTCCTTGTGATACATTTTTTTGTTATTTTGAAACGCCAACATATTTTCAGTTGAGTGAAAAAAATGATCGTATTATTCTGGAGTAAAAATCCTTTTAACTACTAACAGTGTTGTAGGTTTATTGAAAATTTAATAAACAACAGCATTAATCTATAAACCAGTTTTCCACAATATCAGTTTTATGTTGTCCATTACTCAAGGTTGTAGAAATACACACCAAACTGCAATTTCCATATAACTCACAATTTTTCGCTTCCCATACAGAAGACAGCAGAAGCCTGCTGACTGACCCCCCCCCTTTTCCTCCCGTCTGCCTCCTTCACACTTTCCATGTCCTCCCAAGCTTCTCCTTCCCAAAGATCTGCAAAATGCCTCCCTTAGTCTTAAGTCCCTATCTTCTTGTCTTATTTCCTTTTAGAGAAGAAGAATGTATTAGACAAGGCAAACTATTCCTCTAAGGAGTAAAGAAGGTCAGAAAGTGGATGAAGGCAGAACTCAATTTTTTTCCTGTTTGCAAGTGTCTTAAGTTTTGTGATGACATTTTATGACTTGAATATTTAGGAAGATTAAGCTAAAATTATTAATATAAAAACCCTACAAAGAAAGTTTATGTATCATTAAAGACTGAAACAAACTAAAAATCACTCTGATTTAGAAGTTAAAACAAACTCAGGTGACAGTTGATTACAGAGTTCAGTGTAAAACCTTGTTGCAAAGTATAATAGAAAATTACATTTATATTAAATGGTGGCATTAACATTCAACTTCCATTAATCAGTATTGTTTTAAATGTCATTATCTAAATCAAAATGCTTTGAAAATTATGCTACATGAATATTTACTAAATCACACCCAGGGTCAATGTACAGTCAAAGTCTGATTGTCTGTTACACTCTCTGTAATGATGCTGAGGTTTTATCAGATTTTTCAGAACTATTAAATGATACTTGTAAATGCCATAAGAATTTTTTCTTTAGCCATTGGATTATGATGCAATAATATATTGTATTAACTACTCTAAAAATAATTTATGGCCTAGCTCATTGTAATGGTACAGGCTCTCAACTGTAAATAGAATAGGAATGTATTAATAAATTAATCCCTATAAGTATTCTATATCATGCTTCAGATACTACTTGGATAATTGTGTACTAAATCCAGGAAAGATCATTGATGTGCATTGTAGCTTCTTCATATGTGTTTGTATTCATAGACTCCTCCACAGGATTTCTAGCTTATAGAGCAGTCTTTCTATTAGATACATTAGACACTTTCACAGTATTTACCACAGGTAACATAAATCACTGAATAACATCAAACTTACAAAACTGTTCATTCTTAAATGTACAGGAAATATTCTTAAATATTTAAACAGGACAATTGAAGATTATTGTAACTGCAATACTAATCAGATGAAAACTCTACTGGTACTTGGTTATCTCTAATAATATTTTCATCCAGAGTTGTTCAGGAATAGCTGAAGTTCAGGTAGTAAGAGATACAGAAATTATAGAAGACAAACCTTTGGAGATAATTAGGTCATTAGTCAAAATTTTAGATACAGAGGTGTTCACTATAGCATTATTTGTGATAGCAAAAGTTAAAAGTTGCTTAAATGATAAAAGCATAATGCGTCCTTTTTTCAATAATAGTAACTGAACTTCTTTTGGCCAAGTATTACTAGGCATTAGGAATGCAGCTCTGAACAAACCAGTCACATTCTTCTCAGTGAATTCATGTTCTTAGTAAGGACAGGGGACAGGGAGAAATCTGTGAAATATGTCATTTTATGAATAAATAAGTAAATGTTTCAGGACAAAATGCGTTCTACAAAAGATGTAAAATTAGGTAATATGCTAGAGTCATTGACACCAAAATCAAAGGCAACAGAACCAAAAGTTAGCAAGTGGAACGACACCAAACTAAAATCCTTCTGCAAAGCAAAGGAAACCAACAACATACAAAGGCAGCCCACTGAGTGGGAGAAAATATTTGCAGATCATGTATCTGATAAGGGGTTAACATCCAAAACATATAAGGAACTTGTATGACTCCATAGCAAATTAAGCAAGCGATCTGATTAAAAAATGGGCAGAGGATCTGAATAGACATTTTTCCAAAGAGGGATTCCAGATTGCCAACCGACACATGAAAAGAAATCTCAGTATCCCTCACCACCAGGGAAATGCAAATCAAAACCACACTGAGATATGACCTCACACCTGTTAGGATGGCTGTTTTCAAAAAGACAAGAAGTAACAAGTGTTGGTGAGGCTGTGGAGAAAAGGGAACCCTCATGCCCTGTTGATGGGAATGTAAATTGGTGCAGCCACTGTGGAAAGCTCTATGGGGGTTTCTCAAAAAATTGAAAACTGAACTACCATGTGACCTAGCAATTCTGCTTCTGAGCATTTATGTGAAGGAAATGAAAAGATGTATGCACTCCCATTTTCACTGCAGCATTATTTACAATAGCTGAGACTTGGAAGGCACCAAAGTGTCCATTGATGAATGGACGGATAATAAAGAAAATGTGTGTGTAGTTAGCCATAAAAAGAAGGAAACCCTCTTTGCTACCGTATGGATGAAACTTGAGGGCGTTATGCTCAGTGAAATATGTCAGAGAAAGACAAATACTGTGTGATCTCACTTATACGTGGAGTCTGAAACAAAAAACAAAATGAAACTGAACTCATAGATACAGGGAATTGATTGGTGGTTGCCAGAGGTGGGGGTGCGGTGAGGGAGAAATGGGTGAGGGTGGTCAAAAGGCAAAACTTTAGAAACTAAGGCATGAGGATGCATTGTACAGCAGGTTGAATGTAGTTGATGGCACTCTGTTGTATATTTGAAAGTTGCTCCGAGAGTGGATCTTAACATTTATCATCGCACAAAAAGAAATTATAACTATGTGTGGTGATAGTCAGCTAGACTTAAGTGATCATTCAGCAGTATATACAAATGTTGAATCACTCTGCTGTAGGCCTGAAACTAATATTACATGTCAACTGTATCTCAACTAAAAAAAGGATACAGCTAGGGGACAGGTTTTCGCATGGGAAGGGGTGTATACATTTATTTAGATAGTGTGGTCAGAAAATACCTCTGTGAAGAGGCAGTTTTGAACTGAGACCTGAACAGGAAAGAATGAATAACCAGGAGCAGACAGACGGGGAGAGCATTGAAGGCCAAGGGAACAGCAAACAGGCGTTAAAGCAGATGTGATTTTGCTGTACTAGAGAAACAGGAAGGTCAGAGTGAACAAGCAAGAATGTGATACCCAATGAGCCTTGCAAAATAGCCGAGGTTCATGATGTTGTAGGGCATTGAAGGCCATGTTGCAGTCAGGATTTTACTGCAAGTATAAGGTTGAAGAAAGATTGGTGTAATCAGTAATTAATGTAATAATGATTTGAAACACTCTCCAGTAGCAGTGTGAAAGGTTCATTATTGTGTTAAAAGGAAAAGCCAGGTACAACCAAATGGCTATACGGTGTAATCCCAAACATGTTGAAAAAGGTAACAAAGGAAAAGGCACTGGCTGATGGCGCATTTACAAAGGAAAGAGGAAAATTAGGCTATTTCTTTTGTCCACTTCCATATAAGAACACAACGAAATGCCCCATCCAAAAAGCAATAACATAAAACAGGTCCAGTGATACCATTGTTCTGCAGACTTCAGACATCTTAGTGTAATAATGAGCAGGTGGTTTGTTTCACCTGATTTTTTTGTTGAAGTATAATTAACATTCAATGTTATATTAGTTTCAGGTGTACAACATACTGATGCAACAGTTTTTCACGTTACTCACTGATCATGATTGTAAGCGTAGTCAACATCTGTCACCATACAATGTTATTATAGTATTACTGTATTCACTCTGCTGTACTTTTCATCTCCATGAGTTATTTTGTAACTGGAAGTTTGTACCTCTTAATCCCCTTTATCTATTTCACCCATGACCCCACCCACCTCCCCTCTGGCAGCCACCAGTTTGCTCTGTATTTAGGAGCCTGTTTTTCTGTTTGTTGTTTGTTTTGATTTTATTTTATTTTATTTTTTTTAATTTTTTTTTCAACATTTATTTATTTTTGGGACAGAGAGAGACAGAGCATGAACGGGGGAGGGGCAGAGAGAGAGGGAGACACAGAATCGGAAACAGGCTCCAGGCTCCGAGCCATCAGCCCAGAGCCTGACGCGGGGCTCGAACTCAAGGACCGTGAGATCGTGACCTGGCTGAAGTCGGACGCTTAACCGACTGCGCCACCCAGGCGCCCCTGTTTTGATTTTAGATTCCACATATAAGTGAAATCACATGATACTTGTCTTTCTCTGACTTATTTCACTTAGCATCATACCCTCTGTCTGCAGCCGTGTCATTACAAATGGCAGGATTTCATTCTTTTTTATGACTGGGTAATATTCCACATCTTCTTTATCCATTCATCTGTTTTTTCAAAGTTTGCTTATTTTTTTGAGAGAGAGCGTGTGTGTGTAGGAGAGGGTCGCAGAGAGAGTGGGAGAGAGAGAATCCCAAGCAGGCTGCACACTGTCAGTGCATCTCACAAATTGTGAGATCATGACCTGAGCCCAGATCAGGAGTCCCAACGCTTAACTGACTGAACATCCAGGTGCCCCCTGTCCATTCGTTCATCTATAGACAGATGCTTGTGTTGCTTCCATATCTTGGCTATTGTAAATAATGCTACAATAAAAATAGGGCCGTTTTCATTTTCTTTGAGTAAATACCCAGTAGTGGAATTACTACATCATGTGGTATTTCTTTTTTAATTTTTTGAGGTACTTCCATACTGTTTTCATGGTGGCTGTATCAATTTACATTCCCACCCGCGGTCCTTTTTTTCCACATTCTTAACTCTTGTTATTTCTTGTGTCTTTGATTTTAGCCATTCTGACAGGTATAAGGTGATAACTCATTCTGGTTTGATTTGCATTTCCCTGATGATGAGTGACGTTCAGCATTTTTTTTTCCTGTGTCTGTTGGACATCTGTATGTTGGAAGATGTTTATTCAGGTCCACTGCCCATTTTAAATCAGATTATTTGGTTTTTTGGTGTTGAGTTGTAGAAGTCCTTTATATGTTTTGTGTATTAACTCCTTATTGGATATATCATTTGCAAATACCTTCTTCCATTCAGTAGGTTGCCTTTTCATTTTGTGGTGGTTTCCTTCACTCTGCAAAAGCTTGTTTTGGTGTAGTCCCAATAGTTAATTTTTCTAACCTAAATTTTTTCATTCACATCTAATTAAAAAATTACAGAAAAAATATTCTAAACCAAGTGTTTTTGCCTCATAAATACATATAGCTATAGAAAATATAAAGCTCTGAGTTATTATGCATATTTAAGTGTACAGTTATTTTTACCTTTTATAAATTATATTTAATGTCAGTGCTCTTATTTTTTAAAAACTGATTTTTTTCTAGACATCATAACTTATCAGGAAGATGCAAATTAAAACCACAGTGAGATATTACGTTACACCTGTCAGGATGGCTAAAATAAAAAACTCAAGAAACAATATGTGTTGGTGAGGATATGGAGAAAAAGGAACAGTCGTGCCTTGTTTGTGGGAATGCAAACTAGTGCAGCCACTGTGGAAAACAGTATGTAGGTTCCTCAGAAAGTTAAAAATAGGACTACCCTGTGATCCAGCCAGCAATTGCACTGTTGGGTATTTACCCAAAGATCATAAGAACACTAATTCCAAGGGATACAGGCACCCCTTTGTTTATAGTAGCATTGTTTACATTAGGCAAGATATGGAAGCCGACCGAGTGTCCATTGATTGATGAATGGATAAAGAAGTAGAATATATATATACAATGGAATGTTACTCAGCCATAAAAAAAAAAAAAAAAAGAAATCTTGCCATTTGCAACAACATGGATGGAGCTAGAGAGTATAATGCTAGGTGAAATAACTCAGAGAAAGACAAATGACATAGGATTCCACTCGTATGTGGGATTTAAGAAACAAAACAAGCAAAAGGAAAACATAAGAGAGAGGGAGACAAATCAAGAAACAATCTTAATTATAGAGAATAAACTAATGGAGGAGAGGAGGGTGAGGGGATGGGATAAATAGGTGACGGGGATTCAGGATGCACTTTCATGATGAGCACCAGGGGGTGTATGGAAGTGTCGAATCACTATATCATACACCTGAAACTAATATAACTATGTCAGCTAACTGGAATTAAAAACTTTAAAAAAATGATTTACTTCTGATTGAATACTGTTCACGTTTGAAAGTAGACCAAGGCTTGAAATGTGTTCATATCATGGTAGTAGGTGTACTAATTTTCACGTATGTAGCTTTTTAAAAACAAAAAACAATGTGATTATTAATGAAAAGTGTATAACTTAAAAAGAAGCACTGAAATGTTTTATTTATATATTTTTTTTAGTTGGATCACCGTTATAATGAATTCAAACTCCACGCAATTATGTCTGAACATAAAAAAACAATCACAGCTCTCTCTTGGTGTCCACATAACCCTGATCTGTTTGCAAGTGGCGGTACCGATAACTTAGTGATCATTTGGAATGTTGCAGAACAAAAAGTCATTGCTAAGCTCGACAATACAAAAGGTATATTTATAACTGGGATTTATTTTATTGAGTGAATTATTTTTACTTCAGTAAGAAAAATATTTTATTTAAATTAGCTTAGGTTTTAAAGTATTGTTTTTCAAACTTTCTACTGCTCGTCTATGTAAGAACTACATTTCACATCATGACTCGTGTGTGTACATGTGTATAAAACTGAAGCAAAATCTCATGAAATATTTTTGCTTAGTACACCAGTTAAACCATAGTCAATACCAAATGATTTCATTAATATTTAAATATGACAAAAATTCCCCCGATAAATATAAAAGTAGTAATTGGTAAGATTTTCTTAATGAGACAGTTATCCTAGCCGGGTCATTATTCTATCCCAATCTGAAACATACAAACACCATGTTACCCATGTCGTCACTGCCCTGATGAGCTGGTTTCTTTCCCTTATTTTTAATTGGGTCATGGTGGAAAGTCCTAGTTCACATAAGTAGGTCTTAGTGAATTGAATATTATTACACCCTTTCTGGCTAGCATCTTACCCCATAATAATGATGATGCGAAGTAACCATTTTTCTGTTAGATGTTACAATAATTCAGTCTTTTTTTGAACACTGAAGGAAGTTCACTTATTAATTACCGTTTTGTGAACTGCTGGGTATGTTCTTTATATTCAGTTGTTTCTCTAACAATGACCGGTTATCACTTTGAGGTAGAAAGTCTGGACGTGACAGTTCGATTTCTTTAGAACAGTCTTCAGTGTGTAGCATCAATATTAGAGAATTCATAGGCTGTTATATTTAAATCATGCTTCCAAGAGTAATAATAATGCCAAAGGTTATGGTCAGTGTATTTAGTATGTGGCTTTTTCCTTGTCTTTTCAAATTTAGGTCGTTAGGAATGCTGAAAATACCAGTAAAATAAACGAGTTTTGTTATATAACTTTCATCTTAAGAAAATATTTGCCAAACAGGGTTAATTTTTCAACTAGAAAATGCAAATCTCATTCCCAAGTTCACATAACCTGCATATTATTTTCACTTGAGCTTCGGTACTAGATAGTGTGTACTTTGCTCCAATCTCTGAGCAGTTTTTTTTTTTTTTTAAGTCAGCTATTCAGTGAGCTTCCATTATTGTAACAGTTTACCATAAGGTTTTCAATACATCAATGAGGAAAAACCAAAATACTTTTGGTACAGGCTTTGTGATGTATAAACAGCGATTGATAGCCTCCAAATAAGATTTTTTATATTTTTCTGGTTATACCTGTTCATACCTGTTTGTCTCCCTATCATACCTCCTACAGTTTTTTCCAGTATTGTTGATATTGGTCAGTAGTGCATTTTCAAAATACTTTAAATTCAGCTTTAGATGAGATTAATTTTAAATAACACAATAAATACTCCTAAAATGCTATACGATGTCATTGTTCTTCTGAGGCTGTCGCACAAAATCTATACCAGGCGATACCTGCATAATAACATTTCTAAATGTTATGCACAGGTACGTATTAGTTGATGTATTATCACCTAGTTTATCTGCCGATTTGTCATGAAACACCATATGCATCACCTCCATTCACGATGGAAGAGTTTTTTATTCATTACTGTGTACACCAGGCTTCTTTTGCCAGTGAGCATACAATTAAATAAGACTTTTTCATTAACATTGTACAGTTATTAAATGGTTGTGGTAAGAGTTTTGATTACTTCTACATATTTTTCCTTTCCTTACACATTTTCCTTCTTTTGAAAATTTTCAGAGCCTTAACAATAAATTCCTCTTGCTATATCTAAATATCTTCTTAAATTTTTTTTTAATGTTTTATTTATTTTTGAGAGAGAGAGAGAGACAGAGCATGAACGGGGGAGGGTCAGAGAGAGAGGGAGACACAGAATCCGAAGCAGGCTCCAGGCTCTGAGCTGTCAGCACAGAGCCCGACGCAGGGCTCGAACCCACGGACCGTGAGATCATGACCTGAGCCGAAGTCGGACGCCCAACCAACTGAGCCACCCAGGCGCCCCTAAATATCTTCTTAATTTGAAGGTTGAAAGTTTGTGATTTATTTACAAAAAAATATTATGAATATTTTTGGTCATTTTCATTGTAAATATTTCACTTTGAAATGCATTAGACTCTGTTTCTTCTTTTCAGAATTCGGCTTACGCAAAATAGAAGTTTCCATTAAATCAGCTTAAAAAAAATTCTATTAGAATTTGCACGTACAGCAGTTGAACTTGATGTTGCCTCTGTATTTTCATTTCATCATTCTGTATTCCACAATAATCAAAAAATACACTTAAAGGGAAACAAGTATTAGTTTGTTTAAATGTAAAATGTTAAAATTATCATCAACTTGGAAAAAATCATACTTGGTAATATCCATCCAGGAAGGAAAAAACAACCCAAAACACGTTAACAGTGGATAATAGTACTACCTGCCCATTTCAGAGTATTTGGGAGAGAATTAAATGAGTTGATACTCTGTAGAGCTCTTCGAAGTGCTTACACATACTAAGCCACTACAGAAGTGTTTTCCGTCTTAACTATGTGACACTGTTGCTGGTCCCTTCTCTTCCTCGCTGCATTTCCTGAAACCCAATTCGGAGAACCAGCTTTCTGGCTTTCTCCACGTGTGCTGTGGTGGTTTGACCCATTCTCTTACTCCTTACTGGGAAGTTCTCCTTCTGTTAATGGATGCTAAACCACATCAGCTTTTTATTGGACTTATTCATGTGCTCTTTCATTCCTTCTATAAGCATTTATGGAGTTCCCATTTGCTGGCAGGCCCCAAGGTAGGCATTAGGCTTGCAGTTGCTGCCCGTGGGGTGGTAAGGACTGTGACACAAACTGAGTTTACTGTGCATGAACAGCTTCCGACTGTGTCTTTATTCATACCATTTCCTTTTCCTCGGAAATACCACTCATCCCACATATTAAACTCTGCTGCTGTCTCTCAAGGTATAATTGAAATCCAGTTTCTTTTCAGGACAGTAGCCCAGTGGTTTACACGCCTTTCTACACATCAAAATCATTTGGAGAACCTTGTTACAGATAGATTCCTGGGCCCTAATTCCAAATGATCTGATACGCATATTCAGTTTGCTGATTCTGGCGCAGTTGCTTAAAGTATCTGTGTTGGCACGTTTATAATTTCTGTCTTGAGTTAGAAATTTACCATAACACTTACTTTATATACGATTTATTTGATCACTGTAATGGTGAAGAGAATACAATGAACTTTAGTATGTCTTTTATAGTTTAAAAGGGACTTTTACATACATTATTATATATCCTTTCTTAACATTCATGTGGAATAGGTGTTCAGCTGTTTTTACTTATATCCGTTTTATAGATGAGAAGGCAGAGGTTTAAGAGGTGGTTATTTGTTTAGTTCATTTGAAGCAGTGCTAAGATGTGAATCTAAGCCCTGATAAAACATAGACCGTGGCATTAATTTGAAATTTTATTTATTTGTTTTTTATTTTAGAGAGAGAGAGTGCAAGCATGGGAGGGGGACAGAGGGAGAGTGAGAATCTTAAGTAGGCTCCATGTTCAGCGTGGAGCCCCATGCAGGGCTCAGTCCCATGATCCTGTGATCATGACCTGAGCTAAAATAGGAGTTGGATGCTCAACTCATTGAGCCACCCAGGCAGTCCTATAGCATTAATTTTATTGTTTTTAAACTCTTATAGCAGCATTCAACTTTTCATACAATGGATCCTTATCTTCCCAGGACTTTATCTTGTGTTTAAGGTCCTATAAAGCAGGAGTCGTATCCCATACCTTTATACCTAGAATGCCTATAGCAGGTCTTCTATACAAAAACTCAGTAAGAATTTAATGCTTGATTACATAGTTTCTGAAAGAAAAAAAAACCTCTATAAATGCCTGAATATATGAAGCATATTCTCATATTAGTAGTTTTAACCCTACCTAGGTATTTTTCCGTTTTGGAAGCACCCTACACAGGTGGCCTATAGTCTTTGGGGTTACTTTATAAGTCCAATTCCCAACTTAGAAGGTAATATTATTTTAATAACAAGACTATTGTTATATTTTAAGTTGTTTCAGCAGTGTGCAACTTAAATAGCATTTCACGGTCTGGTCTTCTTCCACATGTGTCTATTACGTGTCTATATTTTGTTTATTCTAGGGGTGCCTGCCTCTCTCAGCTGGTGCTGGAATGCAGGTGATACGGTGGCATTTGTTTCCCACAGAGGCCCGCTGTTCATTTGGACTATCTCAGGACCAGAGAGTGGGGTGACTGTTCACAGGGAAGCTCACAGCTTCTTGTCTGATATCTGTATATTCAGATGGCATAGCCAAAAAAGGGGGAAAGTTGTATTTGGTCATATTGATGGAAGTCTGTCAATTTTTCAACCAGGTAAGAATTTAATTAGTCAAGATCTCTTGAAGTTTATTTTTCTTAACTTACAATTTCTTTTCTCCACGACATACAGCCAAAGTCAACAATATTTTAATTGTAAAATAATAGTTGTGCAAATATAATCCAGCACCATGAAGTGTTGTTGTAATAGATGTAACTCCTCTGTGTAGTTTGGACTTGGCATTAGCCTAAATCTTGTCACTTGCCCCATAATTTTATTGTTCTAAGTCTGTTCATTTTTGCACATTTACCTAGAAAGTGGCCTGAATGAATAAGGACACACAGAAGAACTATATGATGACTTGGGGCGCCTGGGTGGCTCAGTTGATTGGGTGTCTGACTCCTGGTTTCAGCTCAGGTCATGATCTCATGGTGTGTGAGTTCAAGCCCCGCATCAGGCTCTGCACTGACAGGGTGGAGCCTGCTTGGGTTCTCACTCCCTCTCTCTCTGCCCCTCCTCTGCTCTCTCTCAAAATAAAAAAAAAAAAAAAAGTTTTAAAAAATAAAAAAATTTAAAATATATATATATATATGATGACTTACTAATATGACTCAAAAATACTTTCCTACCTGCCTGTACAATACCATTGTGATGCTGCAACCCCTTAGCAAAGACTTTGAACCTGAGATAAAAAGGAATAATAATTCTGTGGAGCCCCCCCCACTAGTTAACCAATCTGGCTCAATGAAAGGGTCTGAGTAATTATGTTTATTTTTTTAATTTAAACAATGAGAAGTTGTGCAATGAAAAATTTTAAAAGTTGCCTAAATAGCTCTCCACTCATAAATAAGGATGGCTACCATTTGAGAAACATCCTTTTAGCCATCTGGTACCTCTGTTAATAAATGTGACTCCTGATTCATTAGATAGATGGGTAAAAGCGCTTTTTAGGGTTAGGATCGCTACTTTCACAAAACAGATTACATTCAACTTACCTGAAATTAATGGAAGAAAGAAATTGAAACTGAACCAAAGAAATCATGAAAATTCAAATAAATACTTCTTAAAGGAACAATCTTTCTAAAGTTAAAAAATGTTACATTAAACATTGGTATATTGGGGTCATCTTATCTCAAATATATTTCAAACAGGATCTGATATTCACTTAAAATTTTTTTAAAGTGTTTATTTTTGAGAGAGAGAGAGACAGACCACGAGCAGGGGAGAAGCAGAGAGGGAGGAAGACACAAAATCCGAGCAGGCTCCAGGTTCTGAGCTGTCAGCACAGAGCTCGACGCGGGGCTTGAACCCACGAACTGTGAGATCATGACCTGAGCTGAAGTCACACGCTTAACCGACTGAGCCACCCAGGCACCCTGGATTGTTATACTTTCTTTTTGAGAATCTTTTTGAGCTCTAAAGAGGATCCTGAGGAGGGTGTGCTTACTTTGGTCCAAATTTCATTCTAGATATTATTCATGTTTTGTAATTTGTCATTGTGGCCATCTCCTTTTTCCTTGACCGTGGCTTTCTTTTCTTGCTTTATTATTGTTACTAGTCTGTTGTTGTTGCTAGTAGGCATTTTTGGAGGTTTTAACTCCTAAGACATTGAAACATTGTATTATGTGTCTAAGACCTAAAACACTGAGACGATGTATGCTCATTCTGGCATAGAAAGGCTAGGGATGGATAAAGACTTCCTTTCCCTTATTTCCCTTTTGTGGATTTCAGTCAGGCTAGGATGTATAATATTTCAGCATTCCAACCCATGTCGCTTCTAGAAGGGCCCAGATTTTCCCATAACTCATCTTCAAGTTATTAAAGTAATTTGTGCATTTCACCCGTGTCATCAAATGCTTTTTCTGGGTCCACCCACGTGTTTACTTGCAAGGGCTGCCCTAAGCAAGTTCCACACACGGGATGGCTTAGAGCAACACATTTATTGTGACGTAATTCTAGAGACCAGAGACACAAAATCAAGGTGTCAGCAGGCCCCCTGAAGGCACCAGGGAAAGCTTTTTGTTCTAGCCTGTCTCTTCGTTTCTGGTTCCTTAGCTTGTGACAACATAACATCGCTGTTCACATGGTGTTCTCCCTGTGTGCATGCAGGTCTCTGTGTCCAAATTTCTCTTTTTTATAAGGACACGGTCATGTTGGATTATTGTTTGTCCTAATGGCCTCGTTTTAATTTATTATCTGCAAATACCCCATTTCCAAGTAAAATCACATTCACAAATTCTTGGAGGTTGGGACTTCAACATCTTTTAGGGGAACACAATTCCCTGTATGGGTAACCACCCCGAACAGATTTGTTGAACTCATTTATTCCGTAGGATGTATAGCAATGAATATGTACACAACATCAGAAAAGGTATAATCCTGCTATGTATTTTCCTCTTGCACATATATGAGTTGATGGTTGTGAAGGAAATACTACTTTTTGTTCTAATACTACATTCTGCACTGTGAGTTTGAAGCTTTGAGGCTGTTAGTATTCATACTGGTATTGTCCTTTCCTAAGGAGGGGTCACTTTCTTAATGATTTTTTGGCACAACAGGTGGTTCTATCTCTGTGCAACAAGATGAAATTAATGTCCTCCCCGGTTCTTACAGGAGGCTAAGACCTCAGGCTCTCTGCTTTCCTGTCTTTATCTCTCTTTTACGCTTTCTCCCTTTCAGTCTGAAAAGCACCACCTTATTCTGTTAAATAATGTATTGGATCATGTACAGATCCACATATGAGCAGAGGAATCTAGGGCCAAAAACATTAGAAAACTGCTTTAGCTATTTTTTTTTTAAATTTTTTTTTCAACGTTTATTTATTTTTGGGACAGAGAGAGACAGAGCATGAACGGGGGAGGGGCAGAG